CACCAAGATATATCTACATGTTATTCCAAAAACAATAGCTGCATTGAGACCATTGTCTTAACTATTTTACGGAATTTATGCCTGCGCCTGCGTTGGGGGGTAAAGAATATAATATAAGACTCCTTTTAAGCTTCCACTGGTTAAGAAAAGATGGGACATCTTCATAACCTGACAGCAAAAGATGGGACAACTTTCTGACACAAGAGTTTATATAGTTAAAAAATGCCCTGGTTATAGTGGGTTTCAGTAAGTGTTATACATTGGGAAACACCACTTTACATGCATGTATTGAAGAGTTAATATGCCTACATAGGTAGGCTGTCAAATTGGTAAATTGCGTGCATTTGCATGGGCGTTCCGTGACGAATTCATTCATACGCAGATTAATTCAGGTGCAATAGCGCGTTGAAGTTGGATTATCTTTTTTAATGCACCCTGTAGAGAACAATTGAGCAAATAATTATGAGTCCGATAAAAATTGTTTGTCGAAATCTCATATATTCTCACCGCTGCGCCTAATTAAAGCAATGTTTAAGAGAAGGTATTATATTGATATATAGGGTGTATCAAAATTCAAAAAACCTGCTAACTAACCCATTGAAATACAATGTTTTTAGAATTTGCATGATTTAGAACTATTTGATCCCAAGCGTACGTATAGTAATTTCTAGTAACGCGGTTAATTAAGTTAGATGGGCAGTTCAAATCTCATGCAGGAGCAAAATAAATAGCACATACAGCTAGGATGAGTAAAAAAGCCTGATACCTTCGCGGCTAATTTGAATAACAAAGGTGTCAGTTTTTTTACTCACCCTGTTCATTGAAATGCTAGTAAGCAGTAGAATTATGCAAATTATATAGTGTTTGCAGGTATTTTGATACACCCTGTATTGCATGGTTTCTTAAGAACGGAGTAACAACGTATTATATTGATATATTGCGTGGTTTCTTAAAAACGGAGCAACAACATATTATACTGATAAATTGCGCGGTTTCTTTAAGAATTAACGGGAGCAAAAAATATTATATTGATATAGTGCGTGGTTTCTTAAAAACGAAGCAACAACATATTATATTGCTATATTGCGTGAATGCGTGGTTTCTTAAGAACGGAGCAACAATATATTATATTGATATATTGCGTGGTTTCTTAAGAACGGAGCAACAACATATTATACTGATAAATTGCGTAGTTTCTTAAGAACGGAGCAACAACATATTATATTGATATATTGCGTGGTTTCTTAAGAACGAAGCAACAATATTAGCTACTGATATTGATATATTGCGTGTTTTTTTAAAAACGGAGAAACAACATATTATATTGATACAGTATATGCGTGGTTTCTCAAGAACGGAGCAACAATTACATATTATATTGATATAGCAAACAGCATATTATGTTTGAAGTTATTATAGGTTCACAATCTGTAAATCATTTTCACGAACCGTACGTTTCGTACGGTCCTTAAAGCCATTTCACAGTTCGTACGGACCGTACGGATTTGTCGGATCGTGAATCGTCTTACGAGCCGTACGAACGGTACGATCCGTCGAATGTTGGTAGATCTGGGCAACAAGCATCTGCTATTGGAAACCACCTATTGCGTTTACGAGTTGATACGGGTCGTGACTCGTGTTTACCGTCCGTACGAATTTGACGGATCGTGAAGCTGCTTCACGATCCGTATCATGTCGACGGTATTGGACATGCATGCATACCATTTTCCTAGCCAGTCAATGACATTTTCTGGCCAATAAACACGCTGTACTGGCTGGCTGCTCCGCGTTCTGGCCAGTAAACTGATGAAACTGCATATTTTTGCATAAAAAAAACGCGGACGCGTTGCACCGCTGAGTGGCCCTTCTGTTAATGGTCTTTATTCTGTGGTGAGAGGACCGATGACCAATTTCGTTTCAGACCTCATCTATATCCTTTCCCAGCATTAGACATTTTCTGACACGTTGCTTCATGTCAGCAACGTGACAGTATAGATTTGTGGTGAATGATATTGATAATGAATCAGATATACGAATGATTGTTTTTAGGCACGGTGAAAAGAGTTATAATTCAATTAAAGGATTTATTTGTGAACATCAGCCATTTATCGTATGTATATTCTAATATTTCATAAACAATAACACAAGTTCATGGCCATTAAAATTTTAAAAAAAATTTGAAAAACGCTTGAAAGGTTTCCGCTAGCTTTTGTTGCAAGGAATTTGCAGCAGTTACTGTTTAATACCGGTAAAAAACAAAACAGATGCGCGCCATATGTGGCTTTTCGAAATGTAAATGAGTTTTCCGATTCTAATATTAATCTCTAGAACAATATGTAATTGTTTATTGATCATTCTTCAATTTTTGGTCATTATTGAATTGGTCATTATGATTTTCAACTTCGTAATAAAGAAAAATTGAGTTGAATAGAGAAACAATTTAATGCTACATGCATGTTTGCGGAAACGAACCATTAAGGCCTAGCAAGATTCCTGATATTTCCCATGCAAACACAAGGTGAAATTGGCATTTCTATTAAGGCTTGCCCTTGTTTACACGTCCATAGGAGAAATACCTTTGATAAAAAACATATGATGAGCCTAATTTTACCTTTCCAAACATTTTTAATGTTTATTTTGTTCTTGTTTTTTCAGCAATTTGTCTCCTCTTGCGCATTCCGACGTTATAGTATTAGAATATATTGCAAATGGACAACAAATATCGAAACTAAAGGGAAATGAAAAAGTATCTTTAAAATTTTCCAAGAAGCTAAAAAACATCAAAAAGGAACAAGTAAGCCAAGATTATAGAAACCAAGGCCGGCGAGAGGGGGGGGGGCAAAATACCCGGGGCCCGGAGTGCTTATCATCGCTTTATGTTTGTCCTAAATGAAATACGCCTACTTGCACACTATCCGCTGATCGTCGTTATCGATCGTAAAACGTATCAAATATGAAATAAACGATTTCGATCGTTTTCTCAGCAAAAACAGTTAGCTGAACATCGTTCACATTGCGTTTTTATCAGTTATGGCATGCGGCGATTTCTTGCAAATTATTCGCTGGCAATTCTCTCGTTGATTGCGATCAAAAATAGCTAGCGGGAGAGTCGAGAGGGACAGGGGGCCCGTGTTCACCAATCATCATTTTGTCCCGGGTCCCGTGGTTGGCTCTCGCCGGCCTTGATATAAACTCGAATCTTTTTATGCATATCAACGTTGTGACGTATCGAATGGAGAAACACGCGGATTTTGAATGACGTCGACCAAAATGATATTCTCATTCAATTCTATTCAATCCAAGATATTTTTACACTTTTTTCTGTTTGTAAAGCTATTTCATTTTTCCAGTATGGACATAACCCCAGTCCAGACGTGTGACCTTCGCTTGTTTGTGGTTAATCAAGACGAACATAGTCAATAGAGATAGGTCCTAGACTCCCGACCAAAGCTTTCGATCTTTGGGTTATGTTAGTGCACCATTTTGAATCAGGCGGTGTGCGCAATACGACCGCAAAGCAGTATGGGAGCACAATTTACAAATTTTGCGAAGGAATGTTAATTCACCTTCAGTTATGGGTAAGTTTAGCATTTATTTTATTCTTATTTCCTCTCATTTTGATTACGTTTTGTATTATTATATCGAAAAGGAGTGTTTGATGTTAATGTGTGCCTAAAATCATTCACGAAAACTTGATTGTGTCGAAAGATATAGCCGATTGAACTGAACCCATATTTGGCATGTTTCGACGTGGTGTTTCAGTAGCGTTTTTATATTGCCAGAATATCCTTACACGATTAGAAATCAATAGCATTTCCTTTGTATACTTGTTTTTTAAAGCATAAACTATCCAAAAATCACATCGCACCTCGTACGGTTTGTCTGCAATTTTTGAATTTATAATGCCCATTTTAACAGGTAAATGATACATTGACACCGTAAACAAAATGGCTACCAAGAGGCGAGAGACGCTTCGAGCTGTCAACTGGCGACAGTTCAGCGAAGCCAAAGTTGGCTTTACGTGAAGGTAGTTCGAGGAAGAGCCTTTTCCAAACAATTTCTCAAAGTTCTGTATCCAGCAGGAATGAAAATCCAGTGTCATGGACTAAACAAGAAACTTGTATGCTATTTATAAATAAATACAGTATATATGTCTGTATTGGAAAGATCCCTGGAACGACAAATGGCCAACAACCAAAGATAAAGAGGATATGCCCAAGCAGTAAAAAATGCATGTAAATCCCAACGATCAGGTATGGTATTCGAATCATATTATTATTGATTTAAATTAAATCAACTAACGGAGCATTGAGTGCCAGTGCCCCTCCTTGACAAGTAAAATCAGAGTAAAATAATAAAAAAGGGCACATTAGGATGGAATGTAACTTAACAGATTAAATTCATAATATAATTTCAGGCTGAACACATTTGCAGGCTGAAACATTTGTAAACAACAAATGGAAATTGAGTTGACTGCATCTTTAATTAAACAACAAGCTCCCAACAATGTTGTGATTAATTTCGACTGTTAAATTAAATGCCATTTATATATTCTTATATTTCATTAATTAAAGCAAAATATTTTAATTGTTCTAGGAGGTTCATGTAGAACCCGAGTCCTAAAAACCTTGGCGAAGAATGTGGTACATTGAGTGATGCAGAAAAAGATTTTGAAATTGACTATGTACATGATTCTGTTGGCTCAGCTATTCCTGTGCCATCAAGTCCTGCTGCTGTGTTCAATTTTAGTGATAATCTCTCACCAATTTTCAAACAGTCACCATGTAAGGGCTCAGCAGGAAATAACCCAGGTACTCTTGGTGATATTGTCCAAAATCTCATCACAGCCTTCAAAAGTGTAGCATGTCCCAAAGATTAAAGGAACAATTATTGAACTATTTTTAAAAGCTTTTTTATTGAGCTTGGAGGCATGCATGGCTTTATACCAATTTGTGCAGGCAGATTTTCTGGACAAAAGTTTAAATGCCATGAAAACATTGCAA